AAGACAGCTCACCATTGTTGTCTCCTGGACATTTAAGGATGGACAATAATTTCTGGCCCAGTCAGAGTGACAATATGTGTCTTTAAGAGGGATTTGGCTGTCTTGTTTCTCTTGAAGAGAGGTGTTGGAGATCTAGTGCTGAGGTGTCTGCTCCATAGAAAGCAGGGTAAATAGCTTTTTTCTAAAATTAGACAAAAGAAGCATGAGTGAATAGAGTCACACTCACACAGACCCAGGGTTTTAGCTTTGCTTTCAGTTGTTGATGTTGGGGTTTTTGGAGCTGAAGCTGTTCCTACAGTTCTCTCTCTGCTGCTAGACTCATTCTTTGGGTATTTCTTCTCCTGGACTGGGGAAGATAGCAAGTGAGCTAAATCTGTTTTGCTGAATTTGCTTTTGCCAAGGGTATGTTTATGAGATGCTGCTATATTGGAACAGTTGATAAGTAGTAGTCAAATAATATAATACTTTGTTAAGTATTTTGATAGAGTTAAAATTATGTCAGTTTTTTTTGTTTGTGTTTTAACTATGGTGTAAGAATCAAGCGTGTTTTGCTTAAAGCCTAGTAGTTTTAGCAATCAAATCACATCTGGAAGACAAAACCTTACATTTGCCTTTAAATAAGACAAAAGCTGGGTCAAAGCTATCTCCATGATATGTTTTGAGGGGGTTTGGCCTGATCCATAGCACCAGCAGTACTCGCATCCTGTAAGAAAGTTATAAAAATAATTTTAAAATTAAATTCAGTTCAAAAATGCAACAAATCAAAGTCATCAGTGGATTGTTTCATCTTTCCTGTGGTGAGGCCAATCTTAACCATTCATGGTCATTACATTCATAAGTGTTTAGCTAGCCTCACTTATAGATATCATAATCAGTTGATACTTCTTTGTGTTGCTTCATATATATCTGATATTCTGGTGAATCTTGTGATAAAGGAATCTCAGCACCTGAGATGCTGTAATTACATTTTAACTGGAATTAGTAACTCCTTCACTTCTGTTGCCCGAAAACTGTCAGAGTCATTTCACAACAGCCAGCCTTGTACCTAGTAGTGCAGAATTAAAGTAATATCACCTTTTCCTACTGATACCCACAGTGCTGAAGAATTTGCCAAGATGTTTATCTTTTGTCATTGGATGGACTCTCAAAGCTAATAACAATGCTTTTCCAAGCCTTCCTGATTGAAAAAAATAGCCTTAGGGCTGAAACAGACCATTAATTTCATACTCAATCTCTGCCCTGGAGATTTTCAAGATGATGGCCAATTGCATTTTGAGACGAATAATAAATAGAGTGACAGATTGAAGCAGCATTAATTAAATTGTAGTGCTTATATTAATTTTCATACAAAGATGGTCACACAACAACAACAAATTGATATTAATTTTAGAAAACTACCTAAACCAGTTGACAGTGGTCCAACATGAAAAGTACATGCACATACATATTTTTGCAAAACTTTCTGTCATATAGTAACCACCTCAATTTAATTAAAGGGAAAGCACTATTTGTATTCCATCGATCTTTGACCAATATTATCTTGTGAAAATATTTGGAACGCGTTGCAATTAAAAATTGATTATATGCGTGCTTTTTTCATTTGTGTGCTGTGGTGTGTCCAATAATTTTGATGAACAGCAAAAACCGTATAGCATGAATCCAAGACCTTTGAAAGAAATAAACACAAGCAAAAAATAAATCAATTTATATAAAGTGCATGGCATTACACGCTAACTGGACCAACTTCTGAAGGGACTTGTTACAGCACTCCACAGATTAGTCAAACATTGAAAATGTTTCGCCTTGAGATTTCACAATAGAAAAATGATCAAATTCTCTAATATTAAAAACTTGTACTCATCCATTAGTATGTGAGATTTAGCCTCATTCAGCTGTAATATCTGTATTTTCAATGTTACGTTTTCAATTTCATCTTCCGTCCACTCTGCGTTATTTACTTGCATCAACTACTTTTAGCTGACAGATTATAATTATACAGAAATTCATTACACTGACTGATCTCAACAATGTGTTCCACAGTGGCTCGGGGCTACAACTGTGGTCTAGCGATAAAACAAGAAATAAAGTAGTTTTGTGCCAGTACATTTTCCCATGTTGTTATTGAATCATGTTTAATAGCTTCCTTCATGGCAGTTTTGCCAATTTACTTGCAACGACACCCCTTTCACCTCATGGTTCCAAATGCCCCAAAGCTTTATATGAATAACTTACAAACACGTATGCTGTTTAAAAAAGTTATGCTTCATTTCTCCAGTTCACTTCTTGTAGGATGCATTGCCGTGTATATTTACAATTTACCATAATGTATAATAATGAGAGCAAACCGCTGCATTATAAACCAGCTTTCATAACTGAATTATATTCTAGATATTTTATGAGATGTTATTAAACACCTCTGGAACTGGTGAAACTTAAACCCAGGCCTCCAGCTTCAGAGTTAGGGGCCATACTACTGTAATATAAGAGCCCATGAATACATTCTATTGGGTTCTGACTCACTAGCATTGATAAGTCCCTTCTAATGAACTGCATTTGGTGAATCTATTTCAATTCCAATTCACACTACAGCTTAAGCATTGCGTTCATGGATAGATCTTCACAAAGCATTGTCTGCAGCAAAATTCTTTGAAGCCATGAAGATTTTACATTCAGATTCATTGTTCCTGTAATCAGTAGAAAGTTTTGAAACATCCCCGTGAATGTTAAAAATGATTACATGTCACAGAAAAATGATAGTTATCCAGCAATTTATTCCATTAGGAATACGGAACTAGTTATTCTGATATTGTTGAATAACTATACTGAAAGTTGAGCAGAATAGCACAGCATGGAGAAGGGTGCCATTAGCAGGGAGCAAGCACCATTTAATGAGTTAAGCTCATTTGTTCTGATTCCCAGATGTGTGACAGAATTGTGTTGCTCTCTGGAAGTGGCCTCCTGGTGGCATATTGGGCAAGGTCATGGGTGTTTGGTAACTGAACAAATAAGAACCCCAAGCCAGTTTAAAGTCCTTGCCTACTTGTATGCTACAGTCCACTCTGGGCATCTTCCCTCCCTCCCAACAATGAAGGCTAGGTTGAGAATTCTATTCCATCTTGGGTCTCCCTCTCTCTCATTTACCTATAATGGCATCCTGTCATTACTTCTGATCTGGAGGCTCTAAACCCAACCATTAACTGGTTAATTTGGGGGTTGTCACAGATAAGAAACAGTTACTTTCACGATAATGGGTTGTTGAATCTTAACTTGGCCTTATGGAGAACTCATGAAGCCCATGCCAAAAACCATGGCCCACTTCACCTTCAATTTTTCTTACCAACCTGGTAGTCACATAACACAGTAATGATAGTGTTATTGGCTACTAATTGTTGTTAATCAATATCAATTAATCTGCATCAGATTCTGACATGAAGTCCTCAGTTCAGGAAGTCCTTTGGGAATTATAGATTCAAAGTAAACCATCTCTTGCAAGTATGTTATATTTGTCATATGCCATATCCTAAATTACTCAATCTACCACAAAATATTATTTTGGAAGAAGTATATGTTTAGTTTACATTGAATGAATCAGTATGATCTGCTCCCACCATCTCTCTAGGGAGCAGGTTCTGTAGATTTCCCAATAAGCTGCTGAAATAATGATTCCCCAGTGTTGAATTTATCCCCTCTCCAGTTCCTAACACTCGGAAACAACCTGTAGTGGCCGCCATCAGAATTCCAAAAACAGGTTTAATGTCATTTCTAAGCCGGGGAAAGTTCAATTTACATAATTGTTCCTTTGCTTCAGTCATTTTGATCACTCTCTTCTGAATCCTTTCAAAAACTGCAATGTCTTTTTAGCGGTTGCGACGAGAATTGTACACCCTGGTCCGAACATAGTTACAACAATGATTTGCACATTTTTAAAATTACTGTCCTGGTTCAATGATGACCCTTTTAAATACAGCTCATCTGAGATTAATCATTCATTGCCAAAACTTGATTGTTGCGATTGGTTTGAAGAGCGCGGGGTTAGGAAAGCACTTTTTAAACGAGTTTCCACATCTGCACAACACACAGACCTTTGTGTGAAGCTTTTGTATTAATTCGGATAATGTCCACTGGTCACCAACTTCAGATTTACGACTGTACTTATTAAAAAAAACACTCGATAACTGGAATGCTTTAAACGACGATTTATTGCTAAACTGTGACATATTGGCTATTTAAAAAAAGAAACCAACTTTCTCTCTAGAGTAAAGGTATTGAAGTCACAAAAAACTCAAGAGTCTGCTCGCGCGGGGAAATCTAAAGCTTTTTCCCTCCTTGATTCGCAATGATTCGTAAGACAGCTGCTTTTAAAATAGCAGTTTTACATACTATATATCTACATTTTAATCAATGACTCGTCGTCGACTATCAACGCTGTTAAATGTAACACAGGGTTACTTTGTTTCCTATACTTTTACACAAATCAATGAGAAATACAATTAGCGATGATGAATAGATAGCAACTCAGATTAATCTTAAATAATTGATTTTATAAGTAACATTTGACGTTCCAAGCGAACATCAAACTATTGAGTGTAAGTGCAACGTATTGAAAAACAACTAAAAGTCAATTCTCCCGCATTTCCCTGGCGAATCTGGTCGTGTGCAAATACCATATCTTAATGGAAACATAGATATCTCGTTCCAAGGAACCTATTACAGGATGTACGTGTGAACTGCAAATATAACTGGACAACTTTAAGGCTGCCTGCGGTTCCTGCACACGCAAATGTATTGATATAATGTAATGTATCTGGAGCTTGGGTTGAATTGCTGTCTGTCTAAGCAGCCTTAGTTAATAGCGAGGCAATGTTTCTGAATCATTTACGGGTATGGAATAATCACTGGCGAATAGCTGTTCAGCAGAAAAGAGCGCAGAGAGTACCCCATACTGGTCCACACCGTTGTTAAAACCAACGAAAAAGTTCAATGATCTAGTAGAAGCAGAAATGCAGCTTGCCGCTTCAACAGCTTTTAAGATGCATGGTTTATTAAATTACAATTCTGCCACTAGTTACAGCTACTTTGGATTCATTATCAACTGAGTGAACATTTTTTTTTCCCCGGGGAGACCACAGCAAGGCTCCGGGGAGAAATGGCCAGTGGAGTCATTATGACCTGATATTTTCTTGTCAAGGATTCTCTCCCTCTCGCACATCCCTCCACATGTATCTGCTGACGGCACAAATTGGTAATTGACAATTAAGTTAATTTCTAGCTTTAAGCAGACACTGTCGCTTTAAGACGCAGTGCTAACTTGCAATGAAGAACGATGTATGAAATTCAAACAGGGTTAAGAGCAGGGTGTTGGGCGGGGTGAGGACAGGACCAACAGCTTCCGTTCTGGTGCGAAAGAATTGAGGAGAAAGAGAGGTCGATTTGGTGTGTTGTATTATCTGACCACCTTCTGGCTGGTGCTAGACATTCTGTTGAGTTTCTCTCGTGCAATGCATCGAAAAGACTGCATGGGAGGGAGAGAAGGAACGGGATACAGTTGGAGTCCTTGACAGCGTGTCTGACAGCCATTCCTCCGCCTGTTCGGGAACGCTGCATTAGACAAAATAATCCGCTGCCCGTCTCCCTGTGAAAGTTTCTGGTTCACATGTTAACGTGACTGAGAGGAGGTTGCGGGGGGACACTCCATCAACCCCATGAGGCCGGTGTCTCTCCCCGGGGGGTGGCCCCAGTTACATCTCACTCTCTCTCTCTGGTTACCCCGACTCTTGCAAGTAAGGAGTGAGTGGCGGGAGAATCAAAGCCCAGGCAGCGATCCCAGTGGAGGAGTGGACACACACATACAGAGGAGGGATCGCTGCAACACTGCCAGAACAAGGGCAGGGAGAGATTCGAGCCTTTCACACACACATACACACACAGGGGGAGGGGAGGGCAGTCTCCATAGTCCAGTCAGGGTTAAATGAGCTTAGCAGACAGGATTGAAATGAGACTTCATTACCGCCCACGGCCCCTTCCACATGCTCACGCGCTAAACTTGTCTTAGTGTCAACGTCAGGCATGAAGGATATTTCTGTCAACTTTGACACCGACTGCACTGATAGATGACCCGTTGCTACCAGGAAACTTCTCACTTGCTGGTGACGAGGCGATGTGCTGGCACATTCCGCGGTCTATTGGACGCCGTTTGTACCGGAGAGGCGATGCTGTTTGAAGGAAGACACTGAGGCACTTTGCTCTGGGGAGGGTGGTGTTTGCGGGCTCAGCATTTGGACCTGGGGCAGAAGAGGGTTCCCGGACTCTTGCTGCTTGCTGCTGAACACCACCTATCCACCCTCTCCTCCCCAGAATCAGTGAGGGCTTCCACCCCCCACCACCCTGTCCCCCAGCCCCGGAGGCTGAGCTACACCCTTTCCCTGGGCATCGCTGCGAACCTTCCTCTGGAATAGAGCTGCCGCCTGAGAATTGGCGAGACGTAGACGGTGCAGCGACTTTCCGGGGGCTAATTGGATCTGTCGGTTCATTTTCAGCGGACTTCCTCTTACCCCACCCTCCCGCACAACATGGACAAGCCTCAAAACTGATGAGGTGGGGGTAGGGAGGGGGTAGGGAGGGGGTGGGTGGGTGTGGAGGGAAGTGATGGCCCGCGCCTCCTGGACACGCTTCTAGCCAAAAGCTGAGAGAGCGAATGAAGTCAAGTCTGTTCTGAAAAACCAATTAGTCTGCCGCTATTTTCATGGAGAAAGCGATGTGGAAGAGTCGGTAGTTGCAGCATTCCCACAGACTTGGCTCTTTCCTATAGGTGAGTCGCTAATGCGTTCCTCGGTATAAAAACCGTGTAGGAGGGCTCCTAGCCAAACAACACGCTTCCAGTTTTAAACCCCCCCTTTAAACTTGCTCGCCAGTTGTATGGGATTGGATCTGGACTTTCTCTAACCTTGGGGTGATAGGCACGGATCTGGTTGCTCTTTTTTCCTTACAGAATTGAGACACAGTTTTCTAGCTGATGCAGTTTCCCGGAGCCGAGGGCAACCTAAGTTTATTCCTCACTTCCTGCTTTACAGAGAGACGCGATGGTCCCTACAATGTCCGTGTTGCTGTCTCTGTGGATAACAGCCTGCGCCTTGGTGTTCAGTCACGGAGCCCTTCCGCCAACACTCGAGCAACTTTATCTACACCGGCCAGGTAAGCTCTTTCCAACCGTGGATCTAAGCTCAGTGTGGAATCTGGAGAGGACTCAGGGAGGCAAGTCCCTCCCGACCCCCCCCCCCCCCCCCCCCCTCTGCCGCCCCCCCCCCCCATTCCCAGCCCAGTCAGTGAGCGAAAGCGGAGTGGGAAAAGATAAAGAGGCGAGCAGATTCAAGGTTCAACTTTTCACAGCCTCCCACATGAGCAGGAAGCCGGAAAATCGGGCAGGCTGCCTGGAGAGGAGTCTCGCTGCGAATGACCCAGATGGAATGAGAGATTATTGCAGGCAGCGGGACCGGCGGTGGGAATAAAAGTGTGAGAGCCGCGCGAGATCTCCCTCCGAGTGTAGAGGGCTGGGGGAACAGCGCAGCAGTGAGGCAGGACATTGATTACAGATTTTATTGCGTTTTGCCCGTAGCCTCTGAAAGGCCGAGATCGGAGCACGCAAAGCGAAAGTTGATGAATGTCTGAGCTTAGCGGTTCCTCCTGTGACTGTCCAACAGATACCCACTCTGCATCAATACTGACCACTGTTCAATCCCAAAACAGCCCCTTCTCCCCTCCATTCACTCCTTCCTCCATATAAAACCCACTGCACTGACAGACGCGTGTCATTTGACATGATACAGAGCCCAGTCAAATCGCCCTCTATTCGTCCAGGAACGAAGCGGGTGCCAATCTGCTGGTGACAGCTATCTCTCTCTCTCCCTCTGCTCTCATGTCACCGGCACCGTGCACGCACGGGAATGGATCGAGCTCCGATCTGTGAAGGATTCCTCCAGCACCAGTTCCCAGCCCAGTGCCTGGTGATAGCAGCATGCTGAGAAGGAAGAGCTTTAGCCTAAATATTAGAGAGGTTGGCGCCTCGTTTGCTACTTCCCGAACTACAGCTGCTTCCACATTCCGGATAATTCTATTCCTGGAATGTGTGTGTTTTTTAACAATAGAAAGTCTGACAGGCTACAATATGTAAGTGAGAATCTATTGATCCCCTGATTAACGTTATTGACTTCCATTGGAGGGATTGGTTTCTCTTTGTATTGCGTGTCTACACAAGAGACCAGAAACTTTGTCCAGGCAAATTTCACCTGGAAATAATCGGTGATTTAGCGGCTCTCGAGTTTGGTGAGGAAAGTACAATCTTAACGTGCCTCATTGCCCTCAGAAGATGCAGTATCCACAGCAGCATATAACAAGTATGAAACATTACCATGTACAAGAGCATTGGGGGAATGCTGGTCATTTTTAAAAACAGGAGTAATAAGATTTTCTCAAGACAGCAAACAAAACCGGCAATTCAATTGGCACGGGCAGATAAATGGTTTCTGTCTCTATCATTGGTTTCCTGGAATGTGTTGAGTATCTAGCCTGATTTAGACCCCGGTGCTTAAAACCACCACTCTACACTACTGGAGACAATTACTGCGGTTAACATAGTTCAAATGATCAGTCAGGAAATGCTGACAATCACATTCACTCCGAAACTGCAAATGTCGGGCTCTCAATAGCCTCCCACCTTTCATAAGAAAAATCTCCGTGTAGAATCTGGAAAGCTCTCACTCATGCCCTGCTCACCTGCCCCACTGCTACTTGTACCTGAGAAGGGATAGCCAGCACTGCAGAGCTCTGCTACTTGGGCTCTTTCATTGACAAGTTTCCCCGAAATATCTTTGCCCCTCACTTTGACGTGAATTAGTTCTATCCGACTGACCCATACTTAAAATTATACGACTGTTCTGCCAAGTTGACATTCACTTTGATAAATTATTTCATTGTTGCAGTATAAGATTTAACCTATTCCCTGAGGTATGGCATAAGATGTCCAAACGGGTTGACCAAAATAATTTAAAATTGTAATTGTTTGCTCCTAAGGATATATTTTAATTATGTACACATTTAATCATGTCAGCTGTTTTTCAACAAGTAGTTCCAATGTTGACATTTTGGCACAGAGTTAATGAACGTAAAAATAATTCCCCAATTAAATTTAAGCTACTGCTGCAATGTTATCGGTGAGACGGAATCATGATTAAAGGCATTCGAGGTTCGGAAGGTGGTTGATGCTCAGCACCTCATTATATATGTTGTGGAGTCACGCTAGTCAAATTCAATTCGGATTCCAGGATTGAGAGCAGGAATCCGAGCTAGCAACTTCTCCTTTTCCTGGTCAGTTGATAGGGCAGGCAATTTTGCGGTCCCTGATTGTGAGCAGAGGTATGTGGGACTCCCTTCACTCAAGGCACTTCTATGTGAGAGTCAAGGGATTTAGTCAAAAGAGCATTGAAGAAAGCAGATGCAATCATAACACTATCAAATGATTTCTATCTGGAATTCATTATTTACATTTTAAATAATTATTGGAGATTTATTTTTACACAGGTTTGTGAGTGTCTGAGATGTGTTAGTGGAGTTTGTAATTAAAACAGAAACCATGTCAATCTTTCATGGATAAAATAAGTGGTAGCACAATGTTGGAAGAAAGGAATGTAGTGACAGACTATATATATGCGATCAGGATTACTGGTCCTATGGCAGTTAAACATACAGAAATGGGGTATCTCTCTAGTAATGCAATTATGCTATCATTACGATTAGAAATATAGAGGTTACTGATCCACTGAGGTTTTTTTTACAGTGCGATAATCTAATTGCCAGAATCTCCCTTTGTGAATTAAGTCTTCCAGAAAATGGGGGTGTTAAGGCCAGGCCTATACTTTGACGCCCATCCCTAAATGCCTTGGAGAAGGTGCTGTGAGCTACTGCAATTCGTGTGGTATGGATACATTGAGTGCTGTCACAATTTTGAACCAGTGATATAGTTACATATCAGAATGCTGTGTGGCTTGGTGGGCTACTTGCAGGTATTGCTCCCATGTGTCAGCTGTTGTGCACCTCATGGTGGATACAGGTTACAAGTTTGGAAGGTACAGTCTAGGGAGCTGATGCATTGTATGTCATAGAGTAGGCATAAGCTGCCACTGTGTGCTTGGGGTAGGGGAGTGAATATTGAAGGTGATAGATGGGATGCTTTGTTCTGGAGGGTGTTGACCTTCTTGAGTAATGTTGGAGCTGCATGTGGAGACTATTGCACAAACTCCTGACTAGTGATGGTAATGCATTGAATGTCAAGGGGAAATGGTTAGATTCTGTCGTGTTGTAGATGGACCGTGGCCTGTCACTTGTGGCATAAACAGTACACTTATCTGAGATTTATGAAATTGCTGCACACTGTGCATTCATCAGGAAATATCCCCACTTCTGACCTTTTGATGGAAGGGAGGTCATTGAAGCAGCTGAAGATGGCTGGATCTAGGATAGTACCCTGAGAAACATGTGGGATTCTTGTGGCACAGTGGTAGTGTCCCTCCGAACCAGGAGGCCAAAATTCAAGTCATACCTGCTGCAGACATGTCTAATTACATTTGGGAACTGATTTTAATTAGGAACTTCTGCAGTGATGCTCTTGGACTGAGATGATTAACTTCCATAGACCATAGTGATCTTACGATAGTGCTCGGTGTGACTCCAACCAGTGGAGAGAATTCCCCCTCATTTCAGTTTTCCTACGGCAAATATCAAGGGTAGTCACACACTTCTCACATCTGGAGTTCAGCTGTATTGACAATGTTTGGATGAAACCTATCATGAAGTCAGGAGCTTAGTGGCCCTGGTGAAACCCAAACTTATTATCAATGGTCAGGTTATTGCAATGTCAGTGCAGCTTGATAGGCCCGTCAACAATATATTCCTTCACATATTTTGGTGGCAAATAGGCTGAGGCTGTAATTGGCTGGGCTGGATTTGTTCTTTTTTTTTAATGGACAGGATATACCTATTTAATTCTCTTCATTGTTAAGTAGATGCCATTGCCCGAGTTGAACTGGAATAGCTTGTCTAGGCTGGCTCTGGAACACAAGTCTTGGTACAAATATGAGAATGTTGATCGGATTTGATGTGATTCACTGTCTATGAAATTGCTGGCTTGGATTGGGGCTATCTATAATGTACTGCCTCTGATGTTTGGCAAGCAAATAGTCCTGTGGTATAACATCATTGAGCTGGCACTTTACATTTTTAGGTAAACCTGGAGTAGGCCAGGAGATTATGTATTGTTGTTGAACACAGCTCTGCCTCTAATGGCCCACAATACCCAATCTTGAGTTGCTCGACCTGTTTTGAAATCTATCCCATTTTGGACTGTTTGGTGGTTACTCCTACAAATGCTGAAATGGACAGTTGCGTTTGTAACAGGCTGTGTCAAGCAGATTGTTCCCCTTTTTTTAGTTGCTTCACTGCCTGCTGTAGGCTTGGTCTAGTAGTTATGTCCTTCTGGACTGTCTCTGTATTGAAACTGTTGAACTATTTCTGATGGACATTTACGTCTACCAGCCAAAACACTTTCTGTACTCTTGCCACTTCCAATGCTTCTTTCAATTGTTGTTTGGCATGATTCATCAGCTGAGGGGGCAGTTGTTTTATATACTGTATGGAATAACTCAGATAGTCATGAATGACATGAAGTAATGGGGTGAAACAAATGATTTCTTTCACCCCATGATTGACAATATTAAACCCATAATGTTTTTGTCTTGTCATGCATTAGCCTACACATTTACAACATATGATACATACACTGCCCAAGATTTTGCTCATAAACTATTGATTATATTCTCAATATATTTGCAATGATTACAACAAAATGCTAAATCTTTTTGGTATAAATCTTATCAAATGTCAACTACATTAAGTACAGATGTTTATTACAAAAACTAAAAATAGCACTTTCTCTGGAATCATTAAGTCTAATCTTTATCTGCAAGTTCAGATGACAATTGTAACTGTTCAGGTTTCCCTGTTTGTAGTTTCTGCCATCCTAATATGATTGAAAAGATTACAATCTTGCACTTGTTCTTAAGGATTCATGTATTCTTCAAAAGGTACTTTTGAAGTTTTAGAATTACAATTAAATTTCATTTAGATTTGCTGATTTCAGATTT